ATTATTAAACAGTTTATAAACTAATAATTACCCTGCACATATTACTTTACTGAGATTAATATTTCGAATACTTTTTGATATTTTGCGGATCGGAATTATTTTATGAAAATTCTTTATAGTATACGCTCATGACAAAATAACCCGGTATGAGAGGAAAATTATGATATGCATCGGTACTTTTTATTAATGGCATGACAAAATAACCAATGAAAAACGGCGAACTGGATACCGCCGATACGTATTACAAAGTTGCTACCACACTTGCAGGTTATTTTGTCATGGTGTAGATCATCGCTATAACCTACTAATCATAATTACAAATTGAAGATAATCGATGATGTACTATTTATTAAGTGTACGTTTTTGAACGTTTTATAAATTAGAAAAAAAAAAAACAAATGATTTAAAGTCGAATGCCGGTCAATTGGCAATTATTATTTCACAATTTGTGTTTTCGGTTATCGACTCGACATACAATCTGCGTAAACAAACGTTTACATCGTTATTCTGGTTTAACTCAAAACGAGTAAACCGTACGAGCAAGCAGATACAACAACTACTCAGTACACTGTCCTCGGGCCGTACAACGATAATCCTAATCGCATTGTGCCGGGTACGACGGTGCGCGATATATTATTATGATTCAAACGTCCGAACACGAAGTCACTAGAGGGAGGATCGATTGCTCATCTCACCGTGCGCGTATCCAAGGCAATCTTTTCCAAAATTATCACAACCCGGTATTGACGTGTCTAACAAGCATGATTGAAAAGATCGGAGGTCGTAAGTTCCTGACAGGTTTGTACTATACCATAACGTTTTTATTTTTAGATTTTTCGCTACATTAGTTTTACTATGCGATGTGTGCTTTTTATTTATTTTAACTGAACACAACTTTACTATCGTAAATACGATTTTCTATTGTAGGTCCTTTTTTCGCAATCAAATATTGTCTAGTCGGTTCGTTGAGTAGTTCGATTTTCGATTTTCCCTTACGTTTTCTTTATTAACGGAAAAACCGAAAAAGTTTATAACATTAACGGGTTCATTATTTTCGATTTCGTTGTAATTTGATTGAAAATAATCGTAGAGACTTTACTATGTTAACGCAATACTTAAATTAGCTTTTCTACACGTGGTAAAATGTTCAAAGCAGTCTAGATGAGGTTTTTGAGCTACGATCAAAAATCCACAGTCGTAATTTTTTTCATAAGTGTTTATAGTTCAAATTTTAACGAACGTTATGTTTAATAGAATTTCCTTCAGGATCTATTTTCGTTAACGGTTTATTGTTGCCGACATGTATAAATTAAATTGCTTCATGTATGTATATCGTACTTTCCTAACTTTCCAGCTTTAAAAATGACACACCCGTCCACAGTGTCAGTATTTTTTAATTTAAGTATCTTGGTGTTTCTGTAAATATACCAAGTTTATAGGAAATAAGTAATAAACTTCCTCGCAAATTTGATAGATATACAGTGAACATACACCATATACTGTCTACCTAGCTAATGAAAATAAATAACAACAACAATAATAATAATAATAATAATACTGTTACGCGGTCAGACCGGCAACGTGCCAGTTAGGTATAAAGTATTCGGGGAGTTAGACCCTGTAAACTTATTACCGTAGTCAGTATTAAATAGATACGCGAGGATCTTAAACGAGTAACTTCGATCGTTTTAATACGAAATAAATTGTTTTTAAATTAGCATTTACAATTTCAGCCTAACTGCCGTAGACCCGTCTTGTGTCCGTATAGAGCACTGCCGTGTAATAAAATTTGCTAGGTATACGAGACGGACCCCTTAATACTGTATAGTCCTCATTTTCGCTGTCGCCCGATACTATCACCTTCCCGTACGCTTAAATATTATATTTCATGTTTACGGTGTAATCAATTAAATACATACCCGTGTTAAATTTTGGAACAAAGTCTTCCCACCAGCCCCCCCCCTTATATACTCTGTGATTAAATGTCCCACTTCGGGTGACGCGTCTATTGTAATAACGTCTAAACTCACATCGACGCGTTTAAAAACCATTTACGATTTTACGATGTTACGCTCTTCGGTTTGAATACGCGATTTGTCGTTCGCGCGTTCGATTTTTCGTCTGTGCGCCTATGCGACGGGAATTGACGGGATCGAAATTGAAATTTTTAAATATTTTTCGTTCGTGCGTATGTGCGCGCGCACGTTAAAATATTCGCCCGATTGACGCGCGAAACTTTCTCTTTACTCTTGCGCTCCGGTGCTTATTACGGCCGGCCGCTGTCCGAAAATCATCGCACGGACGTCGTATCAACATCAATACATTACTGTGCAGTACGTAATAATCCGGACTCTAACTGATGGACACCGTTATAATAATGTTGCGTACACACACGCGGTACCGGAGTATTCGCGTACGCATATACCGACCGTGAACACGAGAGAAATGTCCGTGTACATATATACGTAAATATAGTGTTTAAACGATTTCGATAAGAGGGGGGGGGAGGGGAGGTAGAGCTGCACCGGCCTGTGCACAGTCGACGTTTGATTAATCGGTTTTCGGACGGCGGCGTCGGTGTTCGCGCCGTTCATTTTTCAACCGTTCCGTCGTCGTCGCACACGCACTCGCCCCGCGCGTAATACCCGGTAATAATATACACAGAAACGGCGCGACGCGCACTTTTGCCCGGGGAGAACGAACGAGTGTTTTTACTTTCTCTCGCTCCCTCTCCCGGGGTACACGGGTATAACACGTATTTTTCGTAACCGTACGGGCGTAATTGTGCGCGAGTGCCGTACGCACCGCGCACCTACGCACGCGTGCATTATGATAATGCACGTACGCGTATTAGCGGACCCGAGCGAAGAATCTGGGCCGTATGCAAGCGACACGCGCGCGCGGGCCCGAGGCGACGACGGCGGCCGCCTGCCGTACGGGCGCCGCGGCGCCCAGCGAGTACGCGCGTACACACGTACCGCGGGCGCGAACGATACTTGGGCGGACACGACGGGCAAGTGCCGTTGTTTTTACGGAACGGCGAAAAACGCGGGCGGCGGCGGCGGGCGGCGACCGCCGGACGAGGGTCGCGAATAACACCGTGACCGTCACGGCGGAGTGAGAGAGAGGAGAGTAAAAGATAATTAAAAATGGCTGCAGCCCCGAGCCGGACGGACGCACAACCGCGCGGTCCCGCCGCCGACGGCAAAGTTTACCCCTCTGTTGTATACGTATACGCGTGTATGTATATAAATGTATACTTTCGCAGCGCACCCGCTCGGACCCGAAACTTTGTTCGAGAGCGTACATTGCATAATACTTCTTACACTGGCGGCGGGCGGCGGGCGGCCGGTCGGTCGTATTTATGGTGACCACAGACACCCTAAGGGATCGTTAGCGTCCGGCGGCCATGTTTATTTCTCTTTGTCTCATTCCTCGCTGTGCGGTGTGGCGGCGGCGGCGGCAGCAGCTACCCCTCTTTCCTCTGAACCTCTCCTCGTCGTCTCACCGACCCTTCGAACACCCCCCTCCCCCCATCTAAACTCGTGTTCCCCTCCCCTTACACGCCGACGGGTAAACACACACACACACATACGCTCTGCCGCCTTCGCCAAGTTTTTGGACACGCCAGAGAGCTCTCGTAATAGTTTTTCGTTTTCCCCCGCGGCCGTGGCCGAAATATATTACGGTTCGTTTTTTTTTTTTTTTGGCCTCGTGTAGACGGTTTTTAAATTATTGTTTCGTTTCCATCGACAGCCCCGTGCTCGACAAGAAAGAGAGATAGAGAGAGAGAGGGGGGGGAGACATAGGAAAACAACGGAACTTTTCGTACATCGCCCTTTTCCAATGCGTATACCTTTTATGTGCTTATAATATTGCCATACAGAATATTAAATAATACTATTGTAAACCGTAATGAAAATGCATTGTCATTCATCTGCTGTAGGTGGTCCACTTCGGTGTTTTAACTGAATTTTGGTTTTGTACGAAATTAAATGAATTGATAAACTATTATGCGAAAGTCCTTAAACTATATAAGAGGTATTATATGTGTTCTTGAAAGATTCAGTTTTCCCTTACTTTACTTGTATAGTTACATCGCCTATAAACTTAAACTTTTCATATCCGTTAGTCTTTAAAATTATACGCGGTAAACATTTTAATCGATCGAATTTATACCAAGTTATATTTTCTTTTCGAACACATTTATTTAATAGCGATTATAAATTACAATAATTAATTATTGAATTTAAACATCGATTTTATGGCAATAACTCAGTTTGTATTTATTTTTTCATATCCCGATTTATCAGTAGGCATCTATATCTATTGATTTAATTTTTAATTTTTAAAACAAAATATTTATACTGTCGTAGATATTTGCAGTGGAAATTAAATAACAACAACGTTTAGCGTATAAAATAAGAATACAGGATTGCTGGTACATTCATTTTAACAGTTTATAAAAACATAACGACCAAGACCGTATTATAGCATTTATAGTAAACTATATTTTGTGCTTACTCGAAACTCAAATATTTTGGAAAACAAATGACATAGTCTCGATTTATGTGGCTTTTTTTCAAGTGTCATATTAATCAAATGTACAACTTTAACTCAGTTAATAATAAATATTTATTGATCTTTAGTAATTTTATTTCTACTTTTTACGAAAATTTTGAGTTGATATTTGCCCGTCTTTCACGGCAACATTTACCGACTTTAAAGTTTATGATAATAATTACGTATTGAGTATATTTGAATAAGAATAACATTTCGAATAGACGCGACGATTATTATAATATTAGATTGTACAGTCACACGTATTGGACGTCTTTCATATATCATACGAATAGAATATTATTATGGCTTCATATTCGACATTCTGTCATAAGTGTTTAAATCCTAAAAAAAAGATTCAATTAAAAAAAAAAAACAAGGAGGAAACGAAAAATATAAAAGTAAAACAAATTTTGGTCTGTAGTACTGGGCGTAAACCCGTTTATTAAATGTTCTTCAACAATATAAGAGTAAAACAAAAATAAAATAAATAATATGATTTATAAGCAACCTATGTATATAAGGTAATAAAAAAATATTTGTCTTTTTTTAAAATACCTAATAATTAAAATTAAAATTGTATAATAATATTATTCGTACACAAACATTATAAATTGTAATAATGTTTCATTGAGCCCCAACTTACTCTCTTTACAGATAATATTAGTTAACTATAATTATTAGTTGAGTGTGTCGAAATTCTGTTTTTACAGCGTATTTCCCACCACATTTTCGGTACATGCAATACTTTCAACACTCTTTGTAATTAAAATGAACAACCGTACAGAAATAATAAACGGTGAAAGAATTAACAACAAATTAGTTAAAAATATAAAAACTGTAGCGTCGAACAGCCAAAAATAACAATGACGAGGTATTAGGCGCGAGTACAACACAACGGCGTCATAACAATAAACGTCATCAATCAATATTTTTTTTTAAAGGCTTTTCGTTCCCTATTAGTGGTCACACAAATTTGAGGTAGGTTTTAGTTTGTTTACGTTTTTTCAGAATTACGTGGGCTGAATAGAAAGTGCACAATATGGTTTATGTGATCTGTGGTTACACTATAAAATAATCACTTTAAATTGCATATATCATTCTTCATGCGGGTCTTTGACGTGGTAATCACAGATTCGATTTAGCATTAATCCCAAAATGTCATTTTGGGCGATTTGTAGTTGTTTAAGGTTCGATTTGTTTGCTGTATATAACTTGCAATTATTTAACTTATAAAAATGTGGATTATAGCAACGCAACTTTGTATACCATTTTCATTTGATTACTTTTTAACGTGTTTATTTTTTTTTTTTCGGAGCCTAATGGTACTACTGTATATAAATGTATCAAATTTTTTCTATAAACAAATTTTTGAAAATAGTTGTGATATTTTCGAAAAGTTCATTGGTCTTAGTTTTAGAAGACAAGTAGTTCATATATAATGTGTATGTAAAAATAAACTTAATTCTGATACGTTTGAAAATAATATTGCTATTCGCATAAAATTATTGTTATTGTTTTCGATATTACTAATAAAAATAAAGTTGCGGCTTATTGTACATAAACGATAATTATAAATATATATTTATAATGAACATAATAGTGTCTTATAGGATTCATCCGATAGGGTGCTGTGAGGGCAATCGAAGGGAGGCTCATATCAGTTTTTCAATTGGGATGAAAACATTTGATTTACGGCAGTTTTTCGCTCATTTACATTTCCTGTTTATTTTACGGATCTGAAAAAATGTTCAGCTCGCTCGTATTCGTATTTCCATTTTACATTCTATTATTCAAATAACTACTATATTTTTTTGTCATTTTAATAACATTGATACTAAACTACTGTCGTAGTTTATTATTCCGCGAAACCGTACTCAATTGTACCGGGATTTACTTCACGTGACATCAGTTTCGCTACAAACTATTATTATTTTGCTGACCTACCTGTTTATTTAGTCATAGTTAACCGTGGTAACAATCGCCCGTAACTCATTCTTGCATCGCAGACAACCGGACCCGGTAAAGGCGGCCATTTTGCCGGTGGCGGCGATTATTTTTTGCATTTTACATTTTATCGACGACGGCGCGACAAAACCATTTTGCGAGGCCCGAAAACACATATTAAAAAAAAAAAAAAAAAAAAATCAAGGGTGCCAAAGCGTAATCTGAATCGCTCGAAGAACATCCCTGCGGGGGTCGACTCGGAAATGATAACCTCGCGGTCCAAGTTTTCGAACAACAAAATATTACTATCTAATCGCTGGGGTTTCGATCGATTATTATTCGGGTAGGGGGGGGGAGGGGGGGATGCTGTTCCCCCCCCCTTTCGGTATCGCAGGCCGAGTGGTCCGCCCGCCGTGTTACACGCACAGAGTACGTTACACGTACATATCGTGTAGCGCGCACAACTCTGTTTGACTTTCCGGTTTCGCAATTTCCGGTGAGCGGCGAGTAAACACGCCGCGGAGACGGCGGCGTGTTTGCGCGCGGATACCTGGCGCAGTCACGACGCGCGCACACGCCGCAACATCGCGTTGCGAAGACGGGTTACGCGTATACGAGTGGAATTCGATCGGTGCGTCAACATCGCGAGCGCCGGGCTATCGAAATCGACCCGGCCGCCGGAGAATGCCCAAAGGGACCGCCGCATCGGGAGAGCATCGGGATCCGCGCACGTATACGCCCGCGTACACACGTACGCATACGCACGTGCGTTCGCGTGGCGGCGCGCGTGCGGGGAGACCGTACGGGATTTCGTCTCCGGCCGAGGACCCGGGGACGCGCACAGGTACGCGCCGCCGACGGCGGTCTAGGAGGCCGACGCCGCCGCGCCGTCACGCCGACCGGTCTAATCCTCTTTGACGCGATCGTATCGCATCGTATATCCGGAGCGGCGGCGGCGGTACGTATTATAATAATTAGTCGGAGGGCCGGGCGCGATGATGTTTGCGTTGTTATAATTGGGCTCTCGCGGGGATAATACACGCGTTCGCCAGCGTGCGATTCCGCCGTGCCGCGTACTACAGTACATCGGGTAAATATTGTTCGGCCGTGACGATACGGTATTTTACCCGCCGGTTCCCATGCGCGGCGGGAAAATAAAAACGGTCTCGGTGATCATAATCTATACGATCCAGCGGTCCCCGCTACGCGGCCTTTTAACGAACTTTGCTCGGCCCGTACTAAAACGTCCACAATTGAATACAACGCGCTTTTAAAAGAGTGAATGAAACAAAATACATGTTGTTATACGTACGTTTCATTTGTCCCGTCTCATTGTTCCTGTTTTTGTGTTCGATCCGTCGATTTATAACCTAAACTGAATCACCGGTTCGACAAATAATTAGGTAAAAGTGTACAAGCAAGAGCATTTATTTAATAAAAAAAAATAATACGCTAACGAAGGCATTTTTTTTTTTTCAGGTCAATATTGCAAATGATACGAATTTTCAAAAATTATATTTGGTCCCTTTCAGACTCCCAGTGGTGACCGCTGTGATCTATACCCATCATATAATAAATATTTATAAAACAAAGGCGTTATTTCCGTCTGTCTGCGCGCTTATTAGCTGTTCTTCTAGATTACGCAACGAATTTCGATACGGTTACATCTTATATACACAATACACGTGCATGTCAACCGTCCCTTAAGGTTGTTGGTATTTTAGGTACTAAAATCTAATTATTTTCGTTGATTTATGGGTTAGCTCGGTGATACGGATGAAATTAAAAAACAAGTAAGTTTAAGGGCTGAAATAATTTACTGTCGTCAGGTTGCGCAAGACAAACTATTTACTATCGAAACTGGTTACTACAAAATACAATTCAAAAATAGACTGTACTTTTTTTTTAGCAACGAGCTGCGAGAAAGCGATCACAAAGATATAAAAGATACACTATAATTTAAATGTACATAGTTTAACATCAATTTGATAAATATTTTATTGTATCCTATATCACTTCAAAGATTTTTTTAAATTTACGATAAATTAAATAATTATAGTAGCCTACATTTTGTAACATTAAGAGTAGAAAAAAAATTTATAAAATTAATTCATTAATTTAATAGTTGAAGGTGAACGATTTATATTTAACATCATTATTCAATATATAACTAACTTTTATTTAGACGTTAATTAAAACCATGTTTTTAATTTTTTTTTTTTTTATACCAAAAATGTTTTAATATCTTGTATCTTTTAGCACAAAAATATACTTGATACAAAATTCATTACACAAACTAAATATGAAACAAGATACAATTGCATCTTTGTTACTACGTAACTCTGATTACATCTACCTATTTTCTGTGAGATTGGTATTTGTAGGTGGATACGTGTTTAATGGAATATAACATAATATACTACTGGTTGTCGTGCATGACGTTGCTCGTGTCAAAAGACATTACAAGAATATGAACTAAGTAACCAGTTACTAAAGTAACTGCTATTGATTGTGCGTATCCTCGTAATAATTATTATGGATTTTAAAAAATAAATAAAAAAATAGTATTTATATTTTTTGTTTTGTAGGTTTTAACTATTTTTTTTTTTTTTCATATCAACGATATCACCGAAGTTACTTGCTCATAAATCAACAAAAATCATTCGACTTCCGTCGCCCTAACTATAATAAGACACACTGTGTTTATAAGCCGAATTGTCGAAATGAATACTGTAACGGATATCAAAAAGTAAACTGTACACGTGTATTTTTTCCATTTTCAAAATATTTCGAACATAATAATAATCTAGAAAATATTCTTATTATATGATATTATCGGTTCGTCGGCGATACTATAATATCACCTAAACATACAACGGATACAACGCATTATTATAAAAAAGAATATAATATTATTATATTAATATAATATATGAAATCAGCTTTTCTACACAATCTGAGTTTAAATCTTTTTTGTGGGATTTATGGGTACTCTATGTAAAATACGACCGTACACGTCGAAAATAAATACCTACTTACGTCTTACCTATATATATATATATATATATATCGTTTTATGAAGTCGAGAACGTTAGATTTTTTTTTTTAAAATATATAAATCTAAATGTTATACTCGTCGAACAGAATCAATTTGTAATTTTTACTGTTCCACAATACACACACACACACACACACTCGCACATCGAATACGATTCTATTCAAATCGTAAAACCGGCCTTTACGATAAAACGCGCAGCGTTTAACTGCATATTATTATTACTGTTATTATTGTTATTATTATTATCGGCGACGGGCCACACGGCGCGAGGACGTCGCGCGCGGACCGGTTTTTATTGAAGTAAATCCAACGGGGAATAGGGTCAAACCGGGCCGCCGGTAACATGTTGCCACTGTTATTACGGTCAGCGAGCGCGTAGCCGTAGGGGTGTTTCGATTCCCCACCCCCACCCCTCGGCAGCGAGCGCGGCCCGTACGGACAAGGGTCAATGAAAACACGGGCGACCCCGCGGCGCGCGCACGCGGTAACCGACCGAAATGAGGGGTTGTCCGTGCACTTCCGGGGTCAATTGCAGCTGCCCAACGGTCACGCACGGCGACAAAATGGCCGGGTCGCTACACACCGCGAACGCGCGTAACAATTATTATAATATTACTGCAACGTTTTTTTTTTTTTTTTCTTATATTTCCAACGTCCGTCCGGAAACAGTTTACAATAATATCGTGGCGCGCGCGTAAACGGTCCGATGTCCGCGCCGTTCGGTTTCACGCGTTACGCACGCCGCGATTTCCATTCCCGTGTCGTTCTTTACTCACGGCCGCCGCTGTTGTCGGCTAAATCTTCGTGGCCGACGGAACACCGAGGTAGGACCGGCGGCGTGCCCGACCGTGCTTAGCTCGAAGGGCCGTTGTAGCTCACATAGTTATTATGGTGGAGGACGGGTACTGGCCGATGAGGCGATGCCGAACACTGAACAAACGTTGCTAAAAATAAACAGTCGAAATTAGTAGAAAATCGTATATTTCCGTTAGGTCAGGTTAGGTTAGCGTTGGGCGACCGTACGTCCCGTGTTATATAGAATCGTCCCGTGTTTCAACTTTTTGTCCCGTCGTCCCGACGAGATTTATACGGGACGCTATTTTATCTTAATGTTAAAGTTGAAATTTACGACAATATATTTAATAAAATCTACTTTACAATGGTATTTGTGGGTTATTGTTTCGACCCATCTGGCGGGTATATTGTGTTACTCACAGTATACTATGATAATAACAAATGACCACATTTTAAAAACGGTTGTAATACGTTTTACAATGTTTTTTTCGAAAAATAATAAATCGACACGATTAGTTCAGCACAAAAGTTTCGTACAAAACAGCAGAAGAAGGAATTCACCGACAGCCATCGTGAAATTTAAATTGTCTTTGTATACACATATTTTATCTATAGGTATTGAAAAACCTTTATATAACTCACATTTATTTTGTTCTTGTCCCTTATTTTAATTTCGTTTTGTGGTCACACTTGATCAACCCATCAGACCCTTATTGCCTAACTAAAAACTAACCAGACTAAAATTATTACCTTCCGACTATTTGTAGACATGATGGCAAAAATAAGTGACCACGTGTTAAAAATTTCAGGTGACTATCAATAATATCCTCCCGTAATTAAACAATTAGTTGGGAAGTGAATCACGAAGAGATTATACAATCAAACAATTATAAAATTAAACTTTTATTTTTCGTAAAATATTCCAGTAAAAACTTTAGGCAAAAATTTATATGTATATTGTTGTAAAATATTTAATTTATTTTAATTTTATTTCGGTATTAATTTATATTTATTATATTGTAGTATTATTTTCAGGATTACAGCTGATAAATCTTGTTTTAAAAAGTAGTTAACGAAACTTTATTTACTTCGCGCGCGAGGGTTATTTTAATCGGAGTTGGAGAAACAAACTGTTTTTTAATTTTTTTTTTTTTTTTTTTATAATAAATATGTAGGTCACTGGTTTTTCAAAAGGTTATTCAATAAAAGCCACAAGTACGGACGCGTACGATATTGTACAATATAATATAATGAGCGCCTAGTCGTGTGTACGAGCACGCCATGTCGACGAGGCTATACGGCGGGCGCTTATCTCGTGTTGTTTTTTGCCTCCGACCGTCTCTCGAGAAGCGAACTTCGGCTTATACGCACGTAAAGCGTGCCGGGGCGTAGGGAGCGGCGCCGGGACGGCGGCGGAGGGCGAAACTACTTCCCCTCTAGATTGCGGATTAATGACGAATTAGCATATAAAGTGACGGTTATGTCAAGGCGAATGTCGCTGCGACGCTGGCCCCGGGCAACTTAAAACACCGTCCGCCACCGTCGTCGCCGCCGCCACCGATACCCGTCTAATGACCAAGGGATTACCCGCCGCCGGTAACGGAGGGCGACGCGTAGTGGATTCGTTCTTGTTTACCGAATCTATTATCATAATTTCCCCTTGATCGAGCGTCACGCGCGCGCAACGCGTGAACTTAAGACGGCGGCGGCGGCGGCGGCGTATAAACGTAAATCTGAATTATAAACGTCGAGTTTGTCGGGCGATAACGGTTGGGAGGGGAGGGGGAC